AGAGAATAACCGAATACAAGGGTTATCTGGTTACTCAGGGTTACCCTTCCAAATTAGTGGACGACCAGTTTCGTAAGGCCTCTACCATACCTAGAAGTGATCTACTTAGGACTCAGGCCAGATCTAAGAGGAAATTATTCCCATTTGTGACCACATTTAATCCAAATTTACCTGATGTAAGTCGCATCATTAAAAAACATCTGGGTATTTTGGAATCCAATCCCAAGTTAAAAGAGCTTTTTCCTTCAAATTCCATCATAGCATCCTTCCGCAGATCTAAAAACCTTAAAGAATTGTTGGCGCCATCCCGTTATGGCCCTAACACTGAAAGCGAAGGGGTTGCCGAGGTCAAGGGATGTTTTAAATGTAATAGAACAAGATGCGATCTTTGTCGCAACTTCTTGGTTGAATCTAATTCCTTTCTAAGTTTTCAAACAGGCAAAAGTTACAAGATACGATCGAAACTTTCCTGTGATTCTAAGAACATAATTTATTTGGCTTCGTGCAAGAAATGTCGCCTACAATACATTGGTTCCACAACAAATGACTTTAGGGTTAGATTTCGCAACCACAAGTCTGCTATGGTCACGAAGAAAAAGACCTGTGAAGTAGCGGTACATTTTAACAAAACACCACATGATTTAAGCGATTTCTCATTCCAATGCATTGATCAAGTGCAGGCAACAGTAAACAAAAACACAACCTTTGCCTCATTTATGACCGAGAAGAATTCTGGGAAAATCCACCACAACTCAAGAAGGCAACACCTCACATTTCCATTCTAACAAATTACTATAAGCGTCGGGCTACCCAGTCCTAGCAGCAGAATGTCACATCGATCGAGAATTTTGCCACTCAAAACTGGCCCAAAAACCCTTGGTAGGTCCTGGTAGCCATCCACAGATGGGCCAGAGACACGACCTCACTTTTGAACTCGCCAAGCTTGCATGAAAGCATTTGGCGGTCCAGTCCACATGAAACCACCTCTCACCTCTGTTTTCTTTCAGAGGCTTGTCTCTACCCACTTTCCAGCTTAATAAGGCTGTCCTGAGGGCTTCTGTAGAGGGGAAATGGCTCGAAAAACTCTTATAAACGCGAGAAAACAAATCGATTTAAACGCATCGAAACACGAACGGGTGATCTAGGTCACGTGACCCCAAAGTCTGAACCCACGGTGTCTCAAAACCGCAAATATTGTAAGGGATACTTCATATAACGACAAACAAAGTGAGCTTAAGTTTTGTATGGCCAAATTATAAGGTTTTTTGCCAGCTGGAAAAGGGTTAAATAGAATAAATGTTTAAAAAGAAAATTTGCCCTGAGCGGAAATTTCACGCTCAGGGCAAATTTTCTTTTCAAACATTTATTCTATTTATATATATTTAGTATAATTTCAGAGCTGAGCAAAGAGTTTCCAGCAATCTGATTGGTCGAGCGGTTCCTTATATGACGCTATATAAAACGCTCCACGCGTTTTATATAAAATGTAAAAATAAAATGTTAATAAGTGTTACTAAAAATATTGAAGTAAAATGACATGCTTTTTCAGTCTAGCTAGACACAAGTGGATGAAATGCAACTTGAAGTCATTGAATTTCTTCGGTTTCTGTTGTCAAATGTACGGTAGAAATATCCGAGTTCCTGGAACTTGCAAAGAATCAGCGAAAGTTTCTCTGTAGTAGAATTCAAACCTTCGCTTAACGTCTTACAAAGAGTTGAACAGATTGTTTTGAAGAATTCAGTCTGATATTAAATGAATGAAAGTTATATCGATAAATGTAATTGTTAGCTGCAAATACTTGTCGTTTTGACTTTCTAAGTTACTTTTTGAGAAGGATTATTGAATTACAAACGGTTTTGTAGGTCGTATGTCAATCTATTTAGAAACACATTTGGTACCGATCAAATTCTTTTTTAATTGAGAGAGAGAAAGAGCCTAAGAGAATTAATAACTTATATATCGGCTTAAGGTCGTGACCGAAAGAGTTGGATACCATGAAAGAGAATCAAGTTAAAAGAATATATATAAGAGGTAACCTTCGAAACTGACAGAATGACAAGTTAAGTTATACAAGTTGCTGTAACTGTGAATTGCTTTTATTGTTTATCCATAAGTAATGAGATTCAAGGAAAGATAACCTACTTGTTTCACAACTCTGTCCAGTGAAGCCCAACACGCATGTACACAAGTAATCATTGACACCGTCAACACATGATGCACCATTTTGGCAGGTATGATTATGACAGTCATCAACATCTATCGACAACGGCAGGCGGGAAAAATTAGGATTAACATTTGAATAGGTGTAAAAATAATCCAAATAACAATATAAGCACTGTGCAACAAATCATAAGAAGAATTGATAGCCAAATACATAAAAAAGTATTAAAAATATCTATTATCATTGTTTTCATAGATATCCCTTTCTGTTCAAAAACATAAAGAAAAGCAAAACAAAAAATTGAAAGAAAGCAAGCAAACGATCAATAAACAAAAATGAACAAATGAAACAAAAGACAAAGGACAGAAGATCAAAACTTTTAAGAGAGTGGTAAGCGGATAATAAGAGGAACATCACATCAGTCATAAAAATTGTGCTTAATATGGATCCTACTGATAAAGATATTGGTAGATATTTAAACGCCTAAAGAAAAAAGAAGATGACAACTGTATCGATAGATAGATCAAAAGAATATAAAATAAATAATGGCTCACTATTTTGACAATGGTTTCCACTGAATCCCGCCACACATTTACACGAGTAAGAGTTAACACCATCTTTACATGTTCCACCATTAGTACATGTATGCTTGACACAATCATTGATGTCTGCAGCAGAGGATATGAAATCAAAAAATCCTGCCAATTTCTTTATTTGAAGACAAAGCAACAGCTTAATTGAACAAAAAGTTAATTTTTCGCAGAATACCGTTTTTTTCGAAATGTGGAAAGAATGTGTTCTATTATTAATCCAATGTGCGCTTGAACTTTTGTTCAACAAAATTACCCACTACAAAACCTTAGAATCGAATATAGCAAATCCTATATTCATCTTTGGAATTTTTGAAATGACAACCTACAAATTTCACAATTAGACCCAGTAAAGCCTGCCCCGCATGAATAACCATTAATTCCATCAACACAGGAGGCACCGTCATGGCAGGTATGATTATTACAATAATCGATATCTATCGAAAGTAAATGACAAATACTTAATGATAAACCGTTTACCTAGCAAATGAAGGAGTAGATCAGAGATCAAAACGCTAAGATATGACGAAATAAATAGAGATACATAGCATACTGAAAGAATGAGCATTTGATTGGTAAAAATTGCTGTTCCAAAACTTGTTCCGTTAATTAGTTATCCACCATTCATCAGATTCTAGAGACGATAACCTACTTGTTTCACAACTCTGTCCTGTGAAGCCTTGCACGCATGCGCACGAGTAATCGTTAATACCATCAACACAGGATGCACCGTTTTGGCAGGTATGGTTACGTCGACAATCATCTTTATCTGTCGAAAGTAAGTGACAAACAAGCAAACAAAAAACGATCAAAAAAACATTTCGAAACCAAGGCAAAGCAAGGACACAGTCGCAAACTGTTCTGTTCTTAATTGAAAACAAGAACGAGTTTCTTGCATGTACAAAAAGGCGAAGTAGATTCAGCATGCTGAATTTGTTGAACACTAGACTTCACGACCAAGTAACTGCCTAAGTTTCTGATGAAAATATAAGGAGGCACCGTTTTAGCAGGTATGATTATGACAGTCATCGATATCTATAAAAAGTATGAGGTAAAAGTGTAGCGGTTAACAATTACTAAAGGAAAATACTCCAATTCACAGTATTAGTAGTGTGCATCAAACAATAAAATGAAATTAATAACTAAACCTGATAGCTAAGTAAAAAAAGAAGTCATGTACCACAGTCTCAATAGAAAACCATTTCCGTTACATAAGGAGGGAAAAGGGTAGAAAAAAAGATGAAATAAAAGAAAAAACAAACAAAGCACTATAATAAACAAAAAAATAAGACCGAAGATCAAAGCGTTTAGAGACATAAACGACACTTAGAGGAGGATCACTTCAGTAATAACAATTTACATTGATATGGGTATTGCAGATAAACAGACTCGTAAATAAATACACCTATTAAATGATAAACAAAGAAGCAAATAGATAATAAAGAAATCGATGAGAAGATCAAAAGAAAAAATACAATATATTAAACAAAACTCACTATTTTGACAATGGTGTCCACTGAATCCCGCCGCACATTTACACGAGTAAGAATTAACACCGTCCATACATGTTCCACCATGAGCACATGTATGATTTACACAATCATCAATGTCTGTAGGTGAGGATATCAGGTAATAAAGTCATCAATCATTATTTTTGGTAATTTCCCTCATTTATAAAGAACCAACAGCTTAATTGGAGAAGCACTCCGCCTCCTTTAATGTTGCTGTTTCAGAAAGTCCAAAGAAGGTGTTTCACCATCAATCTTAATTAAGTGCGCCTCAAAATTTGTTCAATGAAAAAGACACGGGAAATCATCGATATCTATTAAAATTAAGTGGACAACAAAGGAACGAAATTTTTCTATTATAGGAATTCGTGAATTCAATACAGTAAACCTTCAACCAAAAGGTTGGATACCATAAAAGAGAATCAAGTCAAAAGAAGAAATAAAACAGGCAACTATAGAAACTCACAGAATGACTGGTTAAGTTATACAATTTGCCGTTACTGAGAATTCATGTATTTATTAGTTATCCAGTAGCAATGAAGTTCTCGAAACGATAACCTACTTGCTTCACAACTCCGTCCAGTGAAGCCTTGCACGCATGCACACGAGTAATCGTTAACGCCATCAACGCATGATGCACCATTTTGGCAGGTATGATTATGACAGTCATCAATATCTGTTGATAAGAGCAGGTGGAAAAGAAATAGGATTAACATTTCAATGGGTGTAAAAATAATCCAAACAACAATATCCAAGCAATGTGCCACGTATCAAAAGAAGGAATTGATAGCTAAATAATGAATAAATGATTGAAAATATCAACTGTCATTCTTTTGATTGATATTCCTTTCTGTTCATCAAATAAAACACAACAAAAACAAATTGAATAGAAAACAAACGATAAAAAAAATGAAGAAATAAAGCAAAAGAAATAATAAACTCGCGCCTTAGACTTTGCTTATAGATCTTAAATCTAACCTTTGATTGACTGTTTGTTTTGTAAAAAAAGCATCTTAATTAATGGTGTGATTCACTTATCCTCGAGTCAATTTTTTTCATAAACTATTCTTCATAAGTAGGTGTTACCTTTACAATTTTTTCCATCTCCAGTGTAACCAGATGGACATGAGCCACAAGATATCGTCAGGACATTCTCAGTGCATTGCGCGCCTGGATAACAAGAGTTGTTGTTGCAGCGCGTGATAGGAGTATCACAATGAAGCCCTGTAAAGCCAGCTGCACATATGCAGCTATAATTGTTCACTAAATCAAGACAAGTTCCTTTCAGAGAAAAAAAAAGTATTTATATTAGAATCCTTTGTTTGTTTTATTCAAGAAAAAATTTGTTTTTTGACAATAAAACTTTCATCTGGTCTCCAATAAGGATTTATTCTTGGTAATCATATGGGGCCGAGTAAAATTAAGGCTTAACATCGATCAAATGTGCTTTCAGAATTCCTACACTATCTGAAAACACATGTGATATCAGTCATCAACTTTACGAGGCAACAAGCAATTACTTGTTTGTACTACAAAGGGCTTTTTGATTTGTCAATGATTTCTATAAGTGCCACTACGACGAAAATTTTTGTCTCTGGTATTGACCTTTTTTAGCGCCAATCAAGTTAATATGGTTATAATTGTACTATGCGATAGTTTTTAGGTCGATGGAGGCGAAATACGCCTTAATATAGCTGGCCGAAATTCACGAAAAATCTGTCCGCCATTACTCAGCTCGCAACCGAGAGCCAGCGACTGAACTGAAAAGCGGTTTTACGCATGAGTTGGCTTGTGACGTCATATGCGCACTTTCGTATCGTACTTCGTGTGTTGTGAGAGATTCCACAGTGGAAATTCTAGCCGTTTTATAAGATGTATTCTTCCTCGAATTCTTCTTCCAAATGGCATACAAATTTAGCCACTTTTTTTAGGTCGAGCTGCGCATATGACGTCACTTCCGAAAGGCTCCAACTAGTGCCAACTCTTTTTGCCACAGTCGGCCATTTTTGAATTGAGTAATGGCGGGCGACAAAAAACGAAAAACAAGGTTGAAATAATCATACTTCCCATGAGAATCATGCGACTAAACTTGGCATGGTAAGTGTTTCTTACTTCTAGTTTCCAAAAGTGGAAAAAAGGCAATGCGAAATTTTGATCATAGTGGCACTTTAAGTTTTTTGTTGTTGCTGTTCCTTTCCCCAGGACGAGTCTCTAGAGACCTGTTCATCTTCTAATCTGGTCAAAGATCTTTAAGCGATGAGTTCTCTTCAGTTTATTCATCCTCGTGTCATGATGGTGTTCTTGCTCATTAGTGTTTTCTTCCAACGGCACAAAATTGCGACAGTGTTTTGTCCAGAGTTTCGCAGAGGTACTCTTCTGGATTTTTTCCTGCTTTCTTTCATTCGCCCACTTCACGAAAAGGTTTTTCCAGCGTTCTGTACTTTTTTCGGTGTTTCTTTTTTCGCTTATTTTTATCAGTTCTTCAATAATTTCGTCGTTCATTACTTCGAAACGAGGCGCCATTGTTTCAAAAATAACCAGAAGCAAAACAGTTTCGTCGCTTTTGGTAAGCGACGAAGGAACCAATAATTTTCAAGTACTTTTGCCACGGGCAATTCTCAAATTAACGAAAAAATGCCATCTGTCTCAACCAATCAGTATTTACAAATGATAGACACATTGAGAGTATTATAGTATGGACAGTCTTCTCTTGCAATAACATACTGATAAAAAACCTCAGCCTTAGTGCTCAATTCAAAGCCTTTCCAGGACGTGTGTACATTATCATGCTTGAATAGAAGCCAATATAGAAAATCCAACCTTAACCTGGAGCATAAAGTATACCAGTATACAGAGACAAATTAAGCCTTTTTCCTCTTTTTCTGTTATGGAACGGTCTACATAGTGAAACACTAAGGAGATTATTTCGTCAGCTATTGAGTAACTGGTATTTGGTAAGGAGTAGGTACTGTTCACGAGGTAGCGAATAAACCCGACTGTTTGAAGTACCATGATCACCACAAAGCTAACTTTGGCAGGAATCTGGAAGCGTATGATATCATTAGGCTACATGAATTATAATTGTCGTCAAAACAACAACGAAATTACTCAGAACAATGATTCATGTCAAGTGTTATCCTACCATTTAAGCAAGGCGATGACTGGCATTCATTAATGTTAAAATTGCATTGTTTTCCAGAATAGCCAGGTACACAGCTGCACTCATATCCATAGACCTGATCGGTACAGTTTCCTAAATTGGTACAAACAGTTTAAGAAAATAGAGTGGATTAACGGTATATTTACTTGTAAAGGGAAATAGTTTAAATTAAGGGGGGGGAAGAAAGCCATGAAATCCAAACGATGTTCCCACAGCTTGCAAAGCAGTCTCACTGAAAATTTTCAGCGGATAGCTTTATTGCAGACGAGCATACGTGTTCACAAGGAAAAACACGGCGGTTAACTTAGAAAAATGAGGTACTTTGACTGGGTGTTCATTTTTAAGGATTCGTAGACGCTTTCCGTTTTGTAACGACCATCAGGCCGGCATCAATAATTTGTTAACTTTGTCGCTGTCGGTTTGGCTGACTTCTGCAGCGACATTTTAGGTATTGTGATGCTCGCAAAACTGATTAGGTAAATAAAGAATTTCAAGGATTTTCAGAAACAGAATACTCTTTTGGAAATTATGTCCATGCAACTCTTTGCTAACGGATAAATACGATATTCCGGCGACGATATAAATCGTTCCACCACAATTAACACTCACAGTTAGCCGAAAAGTTTCAATTTTGCTGATCGCGTCCCTCCATTTACTAAATCTGCTCAAAAGGTACACTGAGTACTAATTTTATATGTTCTGAAGCAGTTTAGCCCCACTTTCAGGTCAGTCAGGCAGCGCGGTTTCGTGTTTTCGTCAATTCAGTTCAGTGGCAAAGTGTAGTTTAGTTATCATTTTGACTGAAGGAATTAGATATTTTCAACTTGTCTGGACACCAGGCGACGTTCGTAATGCTGACTTTGACCCATGTGTGCAATCGTCAACAATGTGGCGGAAACCTTAATTGTTTAAAAATGACAGAAAGAATGGCGGCAACTAAATCTTTCCACCACTTAAATAACTAGCCAAGGTAGATGAAGTTAGTTAGAATTATTTTCCTTTACAATTCATTCATTTATGTGGACGGCAAGCGAACTTCGTGGAATTTTTTGTACTATTTTATTGCAGTTTGGAATTTTGAGCTGCAACTCAACTCGACGAAGGCACTTTTCACTTAGCTCAGATTTGTCTTAAAGTTCCACGCATCCTCAAACGGCTTCGCTAAAGCAAAATCGACAAACAGGCCAAAGAAAAGAGCTCATCCATAACATACAGATTATTAGCATGGAACTTCAAACCTTTGTAGAAAAACCACGGTAGGAGTTATTTGTAAGACCAATTTCGGACGCAAAGATTTGAGCGGCCTGCGTGGCTTAGGGAGCCCCCTAACAAGCCTGTGAATTGACCGCTTTGCAAGATGTGATCATCGTTTCTCGGTCCCAGACCTCATCGTTACCCACCACCTTCCTGATCAAATCGTTTCTTTTAGTTTTTGATAGGTGTTTTAATTACCCTTTGCGAAAATTTGTAATTTCAAGAGGGAATTGTGGACTGCAAGTGGTCCCACTCAGAGACTGCTGCTGTAAACAAAGCTTGTTTGCATATCCATTGGAGCCAAGAACAAAAAACATTCTTATAAGGGAAGATAAGACTTCAATAAAGCCATTCACCGTTGTCATTAAGCAGTGCATTTACTTTCATTGTTAAAAACAATGAAAGTAACCTTTGTTTGGAGTTAGTATTCAAAAGATGAGTACGGATACGAATTTAGATATGAATAGAACAATGACTTTCAGTGTTCCAATAAAAGAACTTACCGTGAATACAAGGAGATGACTGGCAATAATTGATATCGTTATCGCAATTTCTTCCATCAAACCCATCATCACAGATACAGGAGTAGTTGTTAATTCCATCGATGCACTGGCCTATAGGTCATTATCACATTCATTATAACCTTGTTCAGTCCTGGAGTCATGATTGTAGCATATGAGTTAATAGTTGGTTGTGGGAAAGAAAAGCTCTTTCACTCGGCAAAGCACACTACACAGTCATTTAAGAAACGGCTGACCGACTTTTGATTAATTCTGTCCAATCTTATTAATTTGATCTCTACGAAATTTCCTCCAAGGCCGTTAGATCCGAAATTGCTATTCGTTTGATTAAGGATCGCAGTAGTAGGCTATTGTTACAGTTACCAACAAATGAGATTACCTCGTAAACAGGGATAAGACCGACATTCATCAATCTCTGTCTCGCAATACTGCCCCGCATATCCACCGGCACAGTCACATGTATAAACACCACTTCCTCTGGGCATCTGAGGCACACATACACCTTTGTTTTTACATGGACAGACATTGATGGTAATAGTGATGTTCAATGTAGAAGAAGCTTGACAACTGTCGGTGGCTTCAAAGTAGAATGGAGTGGTTTTATTCGTCGTGACGTTCCAAAATAAGATATTGTTCTGTATCCTCGCTTCTTTGGGAGTGCCTTCCAAACTGGAGATGGTTACTGGCATACCTTCAGGATCCGATACTCCGATTAGCAGCTCAAGCGTCTCTCCATAAAGTGCATAGTAGTCGGTCTTAGGTGTGAAATGGGGTGGGTGGTTGACTAAATATATAAAATAAAGTTTGAGGCTGTTTTGTAATTGATGTAGATGTACCTATAATTCAGAGGTTTCAATAATAGCAGGTTACCGGCCCTTCCCGCCGTGTGCCTGTTAGCAGGCTCTCGTGTTTGGGTTTCGAGTGGGCTTCACACGAATAAGTTACGAGCCAGCAGGCAAGGGTTCTTAAATTAAGAGCCCTCTTGGAAACCATTGACTTACACCTTTCCGCTTTTATAATTATCCACGAACACAACATTCTGACTGGCTAGGAATGAAAGGCTAATTACGTATGTTTCGAAAAAGATTCTTATGAACAGTACTTTTTTTATGATAAGAAACTGAATCTAGAATTCACATTTCCGAGCTTTCGTATTTCGGTTGTTTATTGGGGGAGCTTGCCTCCAGATCCCCAATGAGGAAAAGGGACCTGCACAGCCCCTTATCGGGCAAAGCCGCCTATTAGATCATCTTAGGCCGCTTATGGACAAAGTGGTTGAAATCCATGCCTACTGCAAAATATTATATGAATGTGAATATTGCCACATTCCATCACTATCACTCATGTCCTCTTAAAATACACTTATGTCATGGGTGCGGTCAACGTTCAAGGAGGGGAGGATGCTGATGAATAAAATCCCTCCAGTTGTTGTGTTTACGTCATATAAGTGGCATTGTATGAACTCTTCAAGTTGATACCAAAAGAAAAAATAACACAAATGAGAAAAAAAAAAAAAATGAGAAGGTACCAAGAGACTACAAAATCATAGATAATGGCACACTTTTTAAACAAGGACTCGAACAATCGTTTTATGTCTCATAAGCAGACTATCAAGAACTAAAACAGCTTTCATTGCTAGATTACCTTGTCGCTTACTCCAAGAGCTTGGATCAATATGAGGCAGGCATTGCCTACACCAGTCCTTTGGGTTTGCCTCATTAGATGCGAAGCAATAGTTGTTGATTAGGCAAGAATTATTCTATCGAAAGAAGAGAAAGAAAAACAAAACAAAACAAAGCTACCGGTCATGCGGTCCACTGGCATCGAGTATTTTAAGTCAACGTCGCTCAGGACTAAATAGGTGAGATAGAAACTAAAGGGGAAAAGTTAACAATAATTATGCAAGTAGCAAATCAATACAGAGATATGTACTTGCCTTCAGGAAGCATCCTGTTGAAATATTACACTCCAAACAAACAGAGTCATAGGATATGAACTTAAGTTTCTGGTCGCTTTGAGAGAAGCCATTGTTTGACACAGAAACCATCAGTCCAGCCGCCGGTGTTCCTTGTACATTTTCATCGTATTGTCTAGTCATCACTGGTGAATCTGGTAAAAAGCACTCCACTAGAACAAGATCCGTCATCATCGCTGGATATTTAACCTCAGCATCATTTGGCACCCATGAACTGTTCCAAATCTGAAGAAAGAACAAAGAAGAAAGAAAGAAACCAGAAAAGGAGGAAATTGGGAAGACAGTTTCATTAAAAAATATAATATCTTGCAATTATCAAGAGAGGAAAGTAGCTTTCAGAGTCAATAGAAAAACTGTTTGATTATTCAATGCCTAAACTAAAAAACAGTCCTATCGAAAATTTTAAAAAATATTACTTACATGGTGAATGAAAGATAAACATGAGCGGTACAACATCAAATATATAATAAGTTCATTCAATGAATATTAAATATTTCCTTACTTCAAAAAAAATCCTTCTTTGGCAAAAAGAGGAAATTGAAACAAAGAAAAGAAAGCTAACTGATCATATAACGCTTTCCGAACAGTACGAACAGCAATGTAATCCATTTAATTACCTGAAATTCACTTATATGACAGGTCAGGTTTGTAGAATTCAAAAACTGAGTCCCCAAAACGGTTGCCCTCTTACATGCTCTTTGTCGCCTATCACATAAACCATCGGTTTGAAGACTGCAAATATCAAAATTTAAGACAATGTTACACATTAAGCTGGAGCTTTATTTCTCTCACTTTTTTTTTTCACCTGGATGGAAGTTGAAAGGAAGGTAGGGGGGTGCGAAGGGGGATGAGGAAAGCTTCACTAGTTTTCTGTAATTCCATTCCATTGGGTAACTCGGCCGGGGCCACACGGAAACGGTAGCCAAAAACTCTGTTTCAAACCCAGCTGAAGATCGCTTCGTGAAGTGCAAGTGAAACCAATTCAGTGACACAAGAAACCAGACTGACTGGGGCTCTGATTCTTTTTTCTCTAGCACTACTCAACATGTTCTAATTTTTTAAGGAGTGCCGAGGAACGAAGAAACTGTATACATTTGGGCTCCCTCTCAGAATCAATTTGTATCAGATAAATACTGTGTGAACTAACCGCTTTATAGAAGGCTTTTGGTAAAGTGATATTGAACAATCATCAGCTGTATATCCTCCATCACAAAGACACGATCCGTTGATACATTTTCCATTAAATGCACAGTCATTAGGGCACATGATGTTCGCGATCTCGTTTACTATTGTAGGCATTTCCACCTCAGCCATGCCAGTTGCGTTAAATGTCATGTTTCGGACTGCCTCGTCGTAGCATTCACTCAATAAAAGGGAAACAGCTCCGATGGCAAAAGAAATGTCACCAGTGTACTACAAAAAGTTGGATAAACACAAATTTTACTAATTAAAGAAAGGAAATGCAAAAAGCAGTTAGTATATGTAAGACTTTCAAAAAAAAAAAAAAAAAATTCAAATGGCAGGACTTAAAAGTTAAAAACACCCAGGGAGCAAATGTGCACCCAGATTTAACAATTTTTTTTGTTTTAATCATTTTTTTAATAATTTTTTCGTTAGTTTAACTGTCAGCGCGTTCATTTATGTCATTACGCTCGGAAGTCTAGAGTGTCAGTTGGTCGTATGATTCTCTCCGTAAACATCTGTAATATTTCATTTAACGAAAACAGCTTTGTAACGGCCTCTCCTGTAGCAGGCTTAGTTATGTGATCAATATCATACCTAAACGTAAAGAACAATGAGCGTACTTAACGATTCTATTTGCACTGCAAGACTCTTATGTTTGCTCTCATAGTCTTTTAAACAGGATTTCCATGTCGGAACAGCCCCTCCTTAGAGATTAACTTGTATCGTTGAGTGAGAGGGTGTTTGTCTGTTGAATATCATCACCCTGATACACTAGCTCTTTAGAATGTCGGTCACAGTCACCGAGAATGGCTTCTTTTAAGACTATAACCCCTGAATGAGCAGAGTTCAAGTATTACTGTTCCTTCCCCGGAGATTTAAGAGACAATAAATATCGAGAATTCGCTGCCAGTTGTAAGATTTCGTAACTCAATTTATTTCTCCTAAAAGACTCTTTTGATGAATCTTTTTCAAAAATGATATCAAAAAGTTCTATCGCACTTTTTTCCTCCGAAAATAGCGAAAAGTTCAAAATACGCCTAGATGGCCGCTGCCCCTCCCCTCTGTAAAGCGATGAAAAACTTTACAACCTCGGCAACTTCGTACACCACAACACGATGCAACCTCGCTTTAAAATTTTGTATGCTAGCCGATTATCTTTTTATCTCTTTGAAAATGTAAATTTCTTGTTATGTTGCTATCTTTAAGTCTGAATAGTGACCCTTTGAAATAAAGTACTTCGCGTCTTTTTCGTAGAGGTAAAAAAAAGGTCAACTTGAGTGGCTTCCGAGAGGTCTGCCACACATCTCCCGATCATAATATACATCATAGTAAAGCTTTGTCTCTATATATTTATATCTTTAATTCTCTATCTTGGCCCACCATAGGAGGTGTGTCCCGGTTGAAAAGAGTTTAGGCTATTTTGTCAAAAAATGCAATGCGAACCGTTGCTGTCACGGCCCATTTAAAGGCCTCTAAAAACGTCTGGTATGATATATTTACAAATCAAAGTATACATCATCTTGAAGCTCTATCGCTGTGGATTCAAAGTGCATCCAGCTTGAAGAGACTGCGGGCTAAAATGACAAAAATGTAATGCGATCCGTCGAACCGCTGTCATGCAAGAGTACAAGGCAAGTCTTTCATCTTGGCCAAGAACGTACCAATTACATGAAAAGGGTCCTTTAGGAAAAGTAGAATTCATTAAAAAAATTTGCAACCGTCGGTGGTTTCTCGATATTTATGGTCAGTGGCTCTTAAGAGCGACTTTTTTCAAGACCACGTGAGAGGTGGCACATCGACCGAAAAATGACTATCCTCATATTTCAGTCAGAGATGCCCTATAGCGAACTTAGAAACGTGGTAAGGTTTTCTTCTTTTTTCCCACACTTGCTTCTTTATCCTAGAAAATTCACGAAAACTGAAACGAGCGTCGGTAGCCGTAAAATGGCAGAAATCAGTGCCCCGAGTAGAGGCAAATGAACTTTGCTCATGAAAGCGCAAAAGAAAGCAAGCTCGTATGAATTTGACGAATTTGTATAGGAGGGATCGAGGTATGGCTTAAGTCTAAAACGGGACCGTTTCATTTAATTTTGACATCACGGAACGCTTTTAAAAATCACCAATATTTCAAAATCTAAACATCGCATTTTGTAACACATTTTCAATTATCATTTTCACCATGCGGTGTCACTCAGAATCGGTTCAGGTTAAGCTCATGATAAGTGGAAATAGTGTCGTTTTCGAGAATATAAAAATTAATTTGGGGCTTTTTATTTCCGCACGGAAAAACCAGACTGAATTTTGTGAAAATTGCAACATCGCCATTTACGTCACGACATAATCTAATTAGGTACCCCGTGGTTAAATCTGGAACTCCAAGCACATTTTTAGAAGTTAGCACCGTGGTCGATCAGGAAAACAATACAGTAAGCTAGCCTTGCATAGCTAAACACGGCAGATTGGTTTTTATCCCTGCTTTCGTTTCAAATTCTCATCCATTTCCCATGGCGGAATTGTTTACAAAAACACATTCCTTAAGATAGCGGAGGGCGTCTGTTTTTCTTTGGGAAAAACGCCTATAAGTCCTATGAAATTCTGGGGTAAACGTGAGCTGTATTGTGAACTTGAAAGGGGACAATTAAATCATCTATAACGGTAGGTCAAATATTCTTAGCCGAAGACGCTCAAGATGGGAAGCAATCTGATACTTCTATGACTTCAACATACTTAAGCGTTTGTCACGCAAGGTCGAAATATTTACAATCTCAAAAACACACTAGATTGTTCCCTTTTTGTGTTTTTTTGGGAACACGAGAATAACACTTTTAAAAAACTTGTTAATTAGATAAATATTGAATACGTTACCATAGAAGAGTGTTTCGCTGCAAAGCAGAGATACAACTTTAGGAGGACTCGCCCCCCACCACCACGCCCGGTTAAAAGCCATATGTTAATTATTTTTAATGGAAAATCATTAGACTCGCTCACTAGCGAAAGAAGACACTGTGGCATTATTCTCGGTGATTATTATCAAACACATGAGATGACATCCTTAGGTAGAGGGATACTGAAAGTATTATGCTAAAAGCAAAAATGATGCATTAATCAATTCAAATCTTCAACATCGCTTCCCTTCAGGAATTCTAACTTTTGAAGATTGGTTCCAGCCCCCCATTGGCCAAAATAATGTTCAAATGTTCTACCCAGGTGCTAGATCTCAGCGGTTCTCAATGAAATAACTATTATCCGTAAAACGGCAGAAATTAGTCGTTAGGCGTCAACATTGACAAATTTTAACCGTGAGTCCTAAAAAAAATGCTACCGTAAAAAAAAAAAAATTAGCATTGCCATGTAAAATGGCCAAAAAATGTAACCGTTAGCAGTGAAAGCCATCTTTCCCCTGAGACCGTCATTTCACTGTCACATCTTTCGTAAAAGGCCCGGCCTGCAATTGATTTGACTATTCAAGTTCCAAAACCTAGACCTAATAGCCCCTATATTCTGAGCCATTCGCTTTAAGAGCCTCCATATTAAAAGAAAAACCACCAGCATTCCGCTGGAAAGACTTAACGCTTCCAGTTCAAATTCCCTACCCAACCCTGGTAAGGTTCAAAGGACGACAGTCAAAAGCCCGTGGGTTGCCTCAGATGTTGAAGCTGCCATTAATCGGTGTATAACATCACTGACACCAATTCAACATTTTTTGAACGTCAAAATCTAAAAAAAAGGAATTTCAATCAGTACGCTAAGCAAAACTTATTCGATGAGTTAACGACCACACCTATTAAAATAAAACAAACTTGTCATCAGGCGTGACTTTCTCCACAATAAATTTCTAGCAGAAAAACGCAAGCACGAGGTAAAAAGTTGCAAAGACATGTATTTTCAAACAAAAAAGCTCGGGGAGAAAATAAACTATTAAGGAAAATAAAGGCTGATAGTTTCGAAAGAAACTGTTTGGGGCTGCGTCGGTCGGAGTAACGAAATAATTTGGATATATCAACAAAGTTGAAATGGTAAATTGGCCACCGTAACGATTACAAAAGCTGACGTTTCGAGCGTTAGCCCTTCGTCGGAGCGAATAGAGGAATTTTGGGCTGTGTGTGCTTTTAAAGGAAGAAAATGGAGCTACGTTATTGGTGGGAACATGGCAACGAGAAAAACATGAATAAATTAGTGGAATGAAAAGCGTTCATTGATCTCTGTGGGATTTAGACTGCCTGTTTGAAGGATGAGCTTTTGTTCAAGATTTTTTCGGCTTTTCGTGCCACCTAAGCGCAAGGAAAGACCGCAGATTGCCATATGTTGCTTAGAATGATTAGGTAAATTAAAATGTCTAGCGACTGGTTTCGATGTGTCCTTGTCATTCCTTTCCACGTCTCGAAGGTGTTCTCGGAATCGGTCACCTAGTCTTCTGCCTGTTTCGCCGATGTATATCTTTTTGCAATAAGTGCAAGTTATGCAATAGATTACATTGGCGGAGGTGCACGTGAAGTGATCGGTGATCTTAATGGATCGTTTAGGTCCCGATATTTTATCAGTGTTGTGAATGAAAGGACACGTTTTGCATCGTGCACGAGCGCATTTAAAAGTGCCTGGTTGGTCATTAGTCTGAAAAGAACTTCTGACCAAAAAATTGCCTATGTTTTTGTCGCGTTTGAATGAAATGAGCGGAGGCTGCGAAAAGATAGTGCTTGTCTCTGGATCGTTTTGAAGTAATTTAAAGTTTTTAAGAATGATGGATTTAACTGAGTGGTTGTGAGGGTGAAACGTGAGAGTGAATGGAATGCGGTCGGAATCTTCCTTATGCGACGTTTGTAGTGCTGAATGTCGATCAATAAGTTG